TTTCCTTTTGTGTTCCTTAAACATAGAGGTGAATGTTAATCAAAAAACATATTAGTCATTATGAATACAAGAGTTTTGTAAGGTCCATTGGTTCGCGGAAAATAATATGTAGTGGGAAAAATATTTTCTATATTATTTTTTAATGTTTGGAACAATTTGAAAAAAAAAATTAAAGGAAAATAATTTTTGTTGTTTGGTAAGCAATTATAAAAAACTCTAAAATTTAACATAATCTTTATCAATTCTGGTAGCCCTTATCAATCCTGTACATTTCTCCCATTTTTATCTTTTGCTCCACTTGTTCATTTTCCTACTTCCCCTAGCCATGCTGTTGAAATCTTAGCCTGCTTCCATCCCTACCTATTCCTTGTTTGGAACATATCAGTTTCAAGATCAGTAGTAAGACACTTTTATCACATCCATCTATTCATCCTAGAAAGCCACCTTATTACGCCACAACCAGATTACCAGCACAACCCCTCTCTGACAAAACATTGAACAGCTGGTGTGGATTGTCAAAGGAGACTCTAATCTTCCAGTGCATTCCTCCTCTCTGGGCAACGGTTCGAATCCGGTCTTTTATAAAATTGTTCAAAAAAAAAATCAATTTTAATGGGTCTCTTGTTCTACCTAGCATGTTTAGGACACTGTATTTCATGGGTTTTGGCAAAGTTGTCCTCCTCAGAGGCACCAAAGCTTCAAACACTTCCCAAGATCGATCGCTTGAATTTCTAGGTTCTGCGATTTGAGAGGGGAACTCTATTTTTTGTGGTTGCCTGAGTTTCTAGGGATGACTTGGGATAACAATTTAAAATTAATAATTACTAATTCATATAATTTGATATCTAATATTTTTTATTATTAATAATTTAAAATTTTTTATTCATAAAATCATTAATTATTAATTTTAAACCGTTATATCAAATAATCTCTGAATCTCAAGGTTATCTGAGTTTCTAGACCTAATCTTGTGATTGGGGTCATGGTATGGAGATTTAATCGCAGTGACAGTTTTAATGACTGGGATTTCCGGTCCAATTCGTGCGAAATGGAATGGGTAGTGTGTGACGGTGGTGGGTGGCAAGGAGAAAGCTTATTGAAGCATTTGGTGGGAGGCAACAAACGGGAAGGAGAAACAGTGTGCACGAGGTTGAGGTCGGTCGAGATTGAAAGTCGGGTCGGGTATAGACCCGTGTGTTTTTAGGGAAAACAATTTCCAAATTTTTGTTCCGGAAGTTGTTCTCCAAGGTTTTCCAAAGTTTTCCGTTGACTCTAAATATTTTTTGTTGACCATATTTTCCTATGTGCACCAAACATAAGAAAACGCAAAAAAACATTTCCGGAGAATTTTTTTTGGCAATCAAACGGACCCTAAGTTTATTAAAGTTAAGGTGGTGGCGCAAGAAGCTTTGGTATTCAATTCCAAGGTGCATGTCCCTTACAATTTAATGATTCTGAGGGCCACTTGAATGAAGTTCTGATTGATTGTCTTATTGGAGAGAGGATATGTGAATTTTTTTTTTTTTTGGGTGTTAATTAAGGATTTAAGATTTAGAAGGCTAGAAGGCAGGCTATAAATGTTTGGTAAATGCCTGAGGGACTGGTTTTTGATATTAGCTTCGGTCAGCTTTTGCTGTTTAGATTAGATTTTCACATATGTTCTAGAAAATTACGGGTTCAGGTATTCTTGTACCCCTTAAATTTATTTTTATTTTGTTGATAAAAAAATGTTTATTAAAACCAATTATCTAAATAATTCAATAGATAGTATTTTTCTTGTAAAAATAAAAAATTTTAAATTTAAATCACATGATATATAAATAGAATAAAGTAAAAGGATGAAAAAAAGATTGCTTTCTATTGTAAAACCTAAAATAAAAAATATTTATTAAAACTTAGAGTTGTATTGTTTCTAATTCATTAATTTCTCCTTCTTTGAAAAAAGAAAAAGATTGGAGTATTTTTGGGTGACAATGATACTATATCTATCGGTAGGGATTTTATTTTATTTATAAA